TTTTTTTTTTTTTTTTTTTTTTTTGGAACTGTTGCAAATTTTAGCACAGGTATTTCATAAATATATTTCTGAGCAGCACCTTGGCACCTACTTATATGTAGTAGAAGGATCTCAGCTACACACCTATTTTATGGAAATAAGCGATTCGTCCCCAGCATATTTGGTCTTCAGGCTAAGGGCACACGAAACTCAAGGGCTTCCGAACTCAAAGACCTCCAGGCTTGGGGCCTGCATGTAGGATGCCTGCCATGGATTTGGAAGTATATAAAACCCTAACCTAGACAGTCTGGGACAGAGGATGCTTGCCAGTGGTAGTACCACATGGACCTGAACAACTCGGCTCTGCTCAGTCAATGGAATTTGGAGCTAATTTGACCTGAGATGCTAAATTAAAAAAACAAGCAAACAAATGAACAAATAAAATTATGCATGATATTAGTCCAAAGCCAAAGGCTTGTGATTTACCACATTGTACATTGGGGTGGGCCCCAGCAGCATCAACAGCATTTCAAGCCATGGTGACCCCACAGCACAGCACTTGCTCACTACGTCATGTATTCCAGATACCCGCAACAAAGGATCCATGAGCTAATTAGTTCCCCACTCATGACAAACTGGGTGTTCTCATCTAGTCTTAGGATGCTCCAAAAATTTATATGCAGATGAGATGCAGGGCAACCTGGTCTGGCTTCACTTTATGGAGGGCAGGGCCACACTAATTATATGAGACAGGCTGTGAAGCAGGGTGACAGAGGGATCTGGGGGAACTGTTTGGGGCCCTGTTTCATGATGATGTTTGCTGGGCATTTAAGGCTAGTGAAGAAACAGGAATCACTGGAAATGGGAAAGACCATGTATGTGGCTCACTATGACTTTTAAAAGAATCAGCAGTGAGGGGAACTGAGCTTATGGGCACTACTATGTGTCTTATTCAAGTGGGCTGCACTAACCTATCCTTGCAGCATGTTTGCCCAATATGGGCCATGGGTTTTATAGTTGTGCTCAGTGTTGACTATTAAATCAACTTCATAGTTGGTTTCCATTGCTGAGCACGTACTGCTTTCGGCAGCAATTTAATTACAGACAATGTATTTAGTAAGATTTCGCAGTATGTGATTATAAGAGAAGAGCCTTTTCTCCCCATGCAAGCTGAGGTGGGGAGGGGGAAGAGAGGGGAGAGGCAGGGCGGACTTCATTTTGTATTCAAGAAATTTTGGTACTCTTCTGTCTAAATTTTGATATAATTTTGTACAGCATTATACATATGAGCAAAATTTACCTCTGTTTGTAAACTATGTTTACATTACAATTTTGTTTGGCTGTAGGTCTATGGTGTTTATTGTTTCTGAAATAGACTCCAGCCAAGACAAGATTGGAAATTACTTATCTAAATGATCAAAATGTGCTAACCAGTGGTTTAAATTGCTGCCGTGCCATTTTTTGAAAACAACAACAGGACAAGTATTTCTGTAGCTCTAACAACTGTCACTCAAATTCTTCATTTCTCAATATGTTTATATTATTCCTTGTAAACCCATCATCAAGAAGAGACAAAAAAACTATGCTCCTTATTCCAAGATCTTGTGACAATATCCTTATAAGCTTTAACAAAAATAAAGCATTTTAAACAGACAAAACTGCATTCTGAATGCTCAACAGGGCATTAACATAATTATACTAATGACTATACTATTTGCCTCATACATTCATATCATTCAATTAGATAATTATTTACTTCTTTCCCCAAACCAGTATGCATTATAGCACACACTACAAGAATACAGCCCCGATGTTTTATAAGAAAGAGCAATTCACTAACTATAAACATGCAAATGTTGAATTTGTAAGAACTTTCAAAATGCAAGGTGTCGTTTTAAATAAGCAATCATAATCATTATTTTTTCATGAGTCCTCAGGATAGTAGTGGCAGAAAGTGTGTTTAATATATCATCTAACAGACTTTGTTGCCTCTAAAGGGAAACTGTTCTGATGAAAGACGCTGAATTGTAACTAATAGATTTCATATATCTGCCAGTTCAAGCTAGACTAGATTGGTGAAACAGCTTGTCATGGGATTTAAAACAAAAACTAGATGCGTCAACTGCACAGCATCTATACTGTTAAATAAATTAAATATATATTGCTTTAGGTATTACACAAGATTTATGTTTCCAATAAAATATTTCCTCTTACCTTCATAGTTCCACAATCCATTGAAAGGTTTTCCTGGCTCTCCAAGTGGTGCTGGAGGATCATTAAAGAAGGGAGCACTTATTTCCATCAACAATCCTCCGTCACTCAATTTAAGCCTGATCTGTACTGGCTCATGGCTCACAGGTAAACTGTCCCAGGTGTGTTCAATTTTAAATTCCATCTAAAGATTTTCATGCAATAAATTGGCAATGTGGGTACAATCAACAACACAAGTCTTTTTCAGCTGTAACAAAAAAAAAAAAGTTGTTTTAAGTATGACACACCAAGGCACTCAAAAGAGAAAAATGATCCTGCAGGGAAGGGAGTATAACTTAAAGGGTCTTAAAGAAGATTGTATTATTCAGCTGAATTCACCAGGCAGGACAGAGGCAACATTATAGACTTGGGACTGTGTGGTGTAATCCTGATCCCCTTTGCTTAGCCTAAACAATCAGGCTTCATGTGGAGCAACAGACAGAAAGATTTAAAAGGAGGTGGGAATGAGTGGCTTTCTCTGTTAAAAGAAAGAATCCAAAATTCTCTGACAAAAATATCCAAATCTGAATTTTTTCACAATTAAAGTGAAATGCCTTTATCTATCTATCTCAGCTGAACAAAATGTTTTATTGATATATTTACAGTTTTAAAGCAATTTGGAAGCCTACTAGTGCCTCAACCAGTATAACAAAATAAATGATAAAGACCTATATATTGGTGTTTGATTTTGTTTTTTTTATCGTGGGAAATCAGAACTCCCCCTGCCCCCCTTTGCTCACCAGGACAAGGGTCCTGCAGCAGTTGTCTCCCCTCTGCTTTGTGGCACTGAGCAGCCCCGATATGCCCCTCACTGCCAAGTCACAGACCCCCCCCAACCCTGTCAGTGCCCTTCACTCTAGACCCACAGCCCTTGCCTACCCCCTACTCATTCCCTCCTAGCAGCAACTTCCCCCCTGCACCAGGACCTGGGTCCAACTGCAGGTCCCCCCTGTTGGACACTGGTCCATCTGCAGCTGTCCCCCGTGCTGCTTTGTGGCTCTGAGCAGTGCTAACCCCTGCTTTCTGCTCCCTGCACCTGTTGGCAGCAATAAGGGCCAAGTTCAAGTTTGGGGGCAGGAGGAGAGTGTCCCAAATAATTTTAGCTTCAGCTCAAGCACCCACCCAGAAGCCAGGGACAACTAGATTTAAACTGGGGTATCCGGAATGAACAAACTTTTCCCTTGCAAGCAACATACCAAACAAAAGCCAGTTTTATTGCAGGACAAAGGGGAAAGAAACACAAAGTACAGCCTAAAGCAGCGGGTCTCAACCTGTTTCCTACCGGTACCCATTTGCAGAGATTCATGGCCTGTCCTGACCCACAGCCCCCTGGCCCTGGTGGTGCGCAACCCATAGTCCCTGGCCCAGCCTGTCCCCTCCCCACCCTCGGACTATGCTAGTGTTCCTCGCTCTCAGCCCACAGGCCCCTGTCCCTCCCCCAGCCCTGCTGAAGGAGCCCCCAGCTACCCGTCCCACTTGGGCCACAGTGCAGTGGCTCTGGCTCATGTGGGTGGCAGCAGAGCAAATCCAGCCCTGCCACAGGCTGGAGGAAAGAGGAGGGGAGGCCTGTGGCAGTCCCTGTCCTGGGCTGGGGCTGCCATGCTGCAGCAGATAGCCTGGTCACAGCCCCTTCCACCCCCCAGTAGCATCCCCCGGCTGCCCAGGCCCTGTGAGCACCCAGTACAGCCTCACAGCTCTCCCTGGTACCCTTCCCCTGCTGGAAGTGGCAGGCACCTTCCCGCCACCACTCTGCCCTGCCGTAGTCTTGGCACTTTCCCAGGATCAGCGTTTCTCAACACATGGCTCACGACCCTCTGAAATCTTCTTGCAACCCACTTTTGGGTCACAACCCACATGTTGAGAAACACTGGCTTAAAGCACTTTTAAACTGTGAGGCTTAAGTTCTGCAGTCCAGCCCCATCTGGGCTGTTTGCACTCCTCAACCCTCCAGGGCCACTCACTCATTCCCGGACCCCCTGGTCCTTGGGCCTGCTGGGATCGCCACCTCCCCTACAGTCTTGTCAACATCCCACCAGATATTGCCGGGAGTTACAGCATTCTAGCCACAATTTTCATCTTTCAGATGTTAGCCATGAGCACTAAAAGGAACCCCAAGTTGGTGGAAAGAAGTTTCAACATCGGCTGAATTTACAGTCAGTTGGAGGAGAACCACTGCATATTTTGCCAGGTTGGGAATGCAGTCTTCAACCACCATCCAGAACTGAAAAGGATCCTCAGCATCTCCAAACTTGTCTCTGACAATCTCTAAATACACTTGCCATTCCATGTTGCATTCATTGCACAGCTTTAATTCCAGTTTCAGTTTCAAAATCTGTATAAACAGCACCAATTTGTTTAGGATTCAGTGCAGAAACAGCATGGAGAAAAATCAATTGCTAGCCATTTACTTTTTATGTTCTACTATCTCAGTTTATCAGCAGAGCTTTGAATAGCTGCGAACCCTTTTGCATTATCAGTTGATGCAAGATGCTCCAGCCATGAAATTAAATGCAGGACACTTTTGTACACTTGGTGTTTTTGGGACTGAAAAGTGTCCAGTGTGTCCACAGGAGTGCTTTTGGGACTGTAAAATGTCACCAGGCATCTACAGTTCTCTCCAACGTACTTCAAGTCAGTGTGCAGGTCTTCTACCACTAGTTCCCACAGAACAGATGTATCCTTTTGTTCCATTTATTCACCCTCCACAAACCCATGGTAGAGCTGGTAGTACTGCGTATGGTACTTTAAACAACGGAATCATGTATTCCACCTGGTCACAACTGGTGCAGGTACAACTGTTGGCAAATCAATACTCTGTTCCTTCAGGTATCTCAAGAACCATGCATGACGAGCTGGAGCTTTTGCTAAAAGTGACCTCAAAGCAACAAATCAATCTACTTGCTTGAAGGTATCTTGCCAAGTATTTCCTGCCAGAGCAACAATATGTGCATAGCAACAAACATGTACAGAGTTTGACCACAGATTGCAAAACAAGTTCTTCCAAGCCTTCACCATGTAGCTTGCACTGTCTGTTACAAATGCTAATATCCACTCAAGTGGGATGCTGAATTCCACCATACAAGAAATCAAAGTTTGCAAAATGGTGGCATGATTAACTTTCCCCAGGCACCCTGTCTTTACCAATGGTGCAGGAGGAATGTTAGCATGCTAGGAGGACATACCTTGAGCACCTGAAAGAAAATGTTGAAAACTGGTGTATTTTAGGAGTCAGCTGTTTGTTGGCAATTACGGCAATGAAGTTTCCCTCAAAGTCATTAAGAAAGTACTGTTTTTCCTCTTCAAAAAGAGCTGGTAGGTGGAAATGCAATTAGTGTGACTTGGGAATGGCACTGCCTCCCTTAATATACTTGCCGAAAAAAATCCCTGACAACATGTGAGTCTATTTTATGCACAGAAAAGTCTGCTTTAAAACACAGTTGAACAAAATCCAAAGTGACAGTGGCATGGTGGTCTTTGGCAACTGTAGAGCACTGGAATGCTGCAGCCACAGTGCATTGTTTCTTTACTATTGTTGATGGCTCTGTTTCAGCATCTTCTTTTCATCTCTTTTCATTCCGTTTATGCTTAGCGCTTTCCATGCGTTCTACAATCATCTGCTTTCCAATGTGATCTACAGCCTTGCTGCATGCAGTGCAGAACAGCACAGTACTATCAGCGTGAAATGTATCCTTGCCAAACTGAGCGACATACTCTTTAAGGGTGACTACTGCACTCTTCGGCATCTTTTCTAGACTTGAATGCAAGGTCTGGAGGCTGAAGTAAAATTTGATGCATCAAAACGTGAGCCCCTGTATGTAGGGGCTGACAATTCACAACTGCATTTTTTTCCACAGAAAGCATGAAATCAAATGTTTTCTGTGAAAAAAAAAGCAAGCAAGCCCTGCAATTTTGTTGGGGATGGGGAAAAAGGGACTTCCTGGTCCCAAGCATAAAAGGTGGAAAGCCTTCCCACCCAAAAGCAAACCTGACTGGAACCTTTGAACACAGGGGTGCCTGGTGGCAATGCAGGACTGCTAGGCTGCATGGTATCAGCTAGCACTGCCCATGGGGCTCACCCCAGTGCAGCCTCTGCAAGATCCCAGGCAGAAGACATGCTCCCCCATAGAGAAAGGCAACACCATGCCCCCCCAACCTGTACCAATCTGACCAAGGGAAAATTTATTCTTGACCCCAATGCAGCACTGGTCTGCCTCTGAGCCAGATGGGCAAGACCCTATAGCCAGGATCCTCTGGGGCTTAGACTCAGCAGAAGAACTGGCACATCCTTGACTGATAGCTGACCAACCTCTTCTTGAACACCTCCAGTGTTGGAGAGTTCACAGCTTCCTGGGTGCCTGTTCCACTGCCCCCTGCTCTAACTGGGAGTTGGTAACAGCAGCCTCCTGGATGCTGCTGGTTTTCTCCCTTGACTCTTGGGGAGAAAGAAAAATAAAAGCAGTAATAACAGCCTCCTGGGCACTGCTGGCTTTCTTCCCCAGCTTTTGGGGGAGAAAGAAAATAAATAAATAAAATGAAAGCAGCAGCCTCCCACCATGCACTTCTTCCCTGGCCCTTAGGGGAGAAAAAATAAAAAACAGCAGTGTCCCAGCCTGGCCTAGCTGCAGCAACAGTGGAATGGAGCCCAGAGCTGTGCCTGCAAAATTAAGTCCCAGGCTCTGCAAATTAAGCCTGTCCTTACTGATCATCTGGTTTAGGAGCCCTGAGATGGGCAACTGGGTCTTGGAGGGTTGCTGCCACCATGCATTTCCCCCACCCAATCCCCAGTGGCCGAAACTGCCCACCCTTGCCAGCACTCCCTACAAGCCCGCTCCAGCCCTGGCAGTGTCACCACCCATCCCCCTGCCCTGCCAACTCTCCTCGTAGCCCCCATGATGCATTCCTTCCCTGACACCCTCTCTTCCAGTGCCTGAGTGTCCCCATGCCTGCTCCTCCACCTCCCTACCCTCTCCTGTGTGCGGCCCAAGTAACAATATAATTTATGCCCTTGGCCTGAGCAGAGCTGCCGCTGGAGCAACACCCCCTTCTGCACCCTGCCCCTTATACTTGAATCCAAGGCAATGGATCTCCCCTAGCACCCAACCCCATGTTAAATGGGGAAAAAAACCTCATCTTTGATTAAGTAAA